CTGCTGCTTCCCATCCATCAGCTCATCCCAGCAGAAATGATGCTTTTAGTGATAACTTCTCTGTTTTCCTGCAAGTTTCATGAGGAATGAAAATTGCTCATTGTCCTCCTGTGACTCACAGCTTGGGGGTTTTATCCCTTTCACGTCTGGAGGCGGTGGGAGGAGAAAAGCCCTGGGATAAATAATAGGGAAGCATTTCAGTTCAGTCCCATCTCAGCATGTTTTGTAAATCCCCTGCTCCTGCCACACTCTCATGCAGAGAAAATCATTAGAGACATTTACTGTACGCCAGGGAGGGTTCAGCTGCTGAAGTACAACAATACCAGCTCTGGGAATTCAAAACAAAATTATTTTCTTCCCACAGAGCTGAGCATCATCTCCTGCCTCAGCCCATCAGTCAGTCTCTCCTGATCTGCTGGAAATAAACATTTGTCTCTGAACTGGTGGTTTTAGCTGAATTGGTGCATACTCCAGTGTCTTGATCCCATCTCAGGTCTTGCTTGGTGAAGCTGTGAGTGCTTGCAGAGCCAGGACTTTGTGGGCACTTCACCAGTGCTGCCGTGGGGACGGGGTTCATCTAACGCCGGCCCTTCGTGTTTCCTCATCCCTTGCCCTTCTTTCATTCTCATTCAGTGTCTCTTGGGGAATGGGAATCCCTTGGCTCTGTCTTTCTGCTGTGGGAATGAAGCTTTTTGGCATGGTGTAAAGGTTTGCTGGCCTCCAGAAACATCTCATGAGCGTGGGTGGGCAGGAGTGGCTCCCTGGCGAGCAGACCAGTGATGTCCCACGTACAAGGCAGCATGCTGTGGAATAGGGTGGTGGCCTGCCCTGGGCACATCTTGGGAGGGTTTCAGGGGGCAGCTCCTATTTGGTGTGTACTGAGGGCAGGGCAGGGTCTTGTGAGGGTTTCTGCAGGGTGTGGTCCTGGCTTTGCACGGAACCTTCAGAGCTGGTGCTAAGGGATGGTCGTGTTGCAGCACAAACACCCTCCAGGGCTGGAGCTTGGTGTGTGCAGCAGGTCCCTCAGCATACCCCAGGGTCCTCAGGAACAGGGAGGAGTGGCCTTATCATGGAGCTGCAAGGGTGGGCTCAGTGAAAGGGTGGAGAATACTCAGAAATTGGTCTGTTTGTCTTCATGAAGTTTTTTTTTAATGGTCTTTTTCGAGAGAGAAAGGGCTTTACAGCAACAAAAAAGGGAGGAGGCATCTGTGAGGAGAAGTGAACATGTGGGGGACGTGCATGTTTGTCCCCAGTCCCCCACCTTGCTTGAGGAGGACCCTGCTCATTCAAGGGGGAGCCCTTGGTGTAGCCAGGGGTCTCCTCTGCTGCTTGTCAAGCCGTGAGGGTTGCTGTGGAGACATCCCTGTGACTGTCCTGGGGAGGGCTCTCCTCTCCAAGGAGAGATCTGTTTCTCTCCCAGTCCCTGTTCCTGTGGGAACAGCCCTGCCAGGCCAGGTGAAAGGCCTCAGGGCCAAGGGTGCTTGGTCTGGCCCTTGGTGGGGAGCCCAGGGGCAGGCTGGCATGCACAGAACGTGACTGCTGTGAGGCAACGAGACCTCTCCCCAGGTAAAGCTCTTCCAGTGAGGCTAGAAGCAGATGTGGGTTGGTTTTGACCGGGTAGCTGTGGTGGATGGACACTGGTGCTCAGCCCCCCTCAGCCTGGAGCTGCCCATTCTGTGCCAGCACAGGCGGGGCAGCTGCCCAGGGGGTTGCTGCAGTGCTGGTGGTCCATGGCCATGAGCCGTGGGGTACCAGCCTGCTCTGCCAGCAGCAGCAGCTCACCCTGTGCCCCCTCCCCACAGATGTGCCGGCGAGTGTACAAGGGGATCCCCCTGCAGGTGCGAGGCCAGGTCTGGTCCCTGCTGCTGGACGTGGAGAAGATGAAGAAGGAGAACGAGGGGAAGTACGAGGTACGGGCTCCCCGACACGGGCAGGGGGGCTGCTGGGGGGGCTGCCCCAGCTGGGGCAGGCTGGGCCTGCGAGGGATGTAGGCAACCCCACCTCCACCCCCATGGGCAGGAAAGGGGTGGGGAGTGTTTAAGGGAGGGGGGACACATGCTGAGTGCCCTACAACTCGTGCTGGTGAGGGGCCCTGACCCTGTCCCTGAACTGCTGCGACCTCTGAGAAGGAAAGGCTTAAAATTAGAGAGGACTGGAAATGTGAAGGGCATAAATTCTTTATCTGTGTGTGTCTGTCGGGGGGGCCTCTCAGCACGTCCACCAGCTGCTTGTCCTGCTGGCTGCTGGAAGCCAGGAGCAAAGGTGCTGTCACTGTCACTGCACCCTTAGGGGAAGGTGCTGGGAAGAGGGAGGGGGCACTTAGCAGAGGTGCCGCTTGCACCGAGCTCCCTGGAGTGATGCCCAGTAGCCAGGAGCACCCCAGAGTGGGTAGGTGCTGGATGGGGGTACCCCAAACCTCAGCTGGAGGCTTTTACTTCATGCTGGGAAACGTTACTCAGGGTGTTTTGAACCAGCTGAGAACTGGGGTTAGTGGAGGAGGCCGATGCCCGGTGGGGTGAGGGCAGGCCTGGCACGTGGGGCATCTCTGGGCATCAGGTCCTGGCTTACAGCTGGGACAGGCACCTGGAGGTTGAGCTGGAGGAGCTTGAAGTGGCTTCTCTTTTCTTCCACCTTTGATCTTGTTATAACTGTCTTGAAAGTTTCTATTAGAAAGCATTCTTACAAATCAAATAAAAATCACTTTTCTATAACAAATCACTTCTTTTCTCTGCAGCTAGCAGAGCCTGCCTGCCCTCACCCCTGCCAGAGCCCTGCCAGCTGCAGGCCTGCAGCCCGTGCTGGGAAAGGGGCAGTTTCTGGAGCATGCACTGGCAGGGCTTGCTGCCTCTCCCTGTGCTGTATTTCAGGCACCTCAGCCCCTTCAGGCCACCTCTTGCCACGTGCAGCATGCGGGAGCCCTTGGCTGGGAATGAGCTCATTTCCCAAAGTGGTGTGAGGGCTTAGCTGGCACCACGTGCCCGGGCGAGGGTCGGGGTGTCGTGGGCACACAGGCTCTGCAGGGAGGACGAGTGCTGCTCCCAGCAGTGTTCCTGCAGTCCCTGCCTGGGGAGCAGGGTGCTGCCAGTGCCCAGCACAGCGAGGTGCTGCTGGGGTGGGGTGCTGCGGGGCCATGGGGGGTGCTGGGCTGGGCTCGTGCAGTGGGCAGAGGTAAGAAGCTCTGCCAGCACACAGACCCTTACCTGGAGGCTGTGCTGTGCAGGCAGGGAAGCAATCCAAACAAAGGGAAGTATCTGTGCTCCAGAGAGGCCTGTGATGAACAGGAGCTTCAGGCTAATAGGCTTTGCTGGAGGCAAACCTACAATCTCGTCTTCATCTGCCTCTGCTTTGGTGCCACCTCCTGCCAGTAATTAGCTCTCCCCTAATTTCCTCCAGAGGAGGCTCAGTGCAGGTCCTGGGTAAGGGGGTTTTGCTTTCAAGAAGGGACTAAGCCTCAACCCCAGCCCCATGTCCTGGGGGGGCTGGTCCCAAAGCCACCCCATTTCTCCCTGGGGCATCAACAGCTGCTTTCAAGGCTGGAGTTAATCCCAAGATGCTCTGACTGCCCTGAGTGTTGGCTGTGCTGGACATATCTCAGTGCTAATGACCTTTTGGTGTTCCCAGAGCTGATGTGACCACCTCAGGAGGTCAACAGCAGCCTGGAGGCACCTTGTATCAGGCTGATGAGCACTCGTAGGATGGCAGCTGCTGGAGCAGATGATGAAGTTTCTGTGCAGATGTTCTGTCTTCTGTCTCCTGTGTGAGCAGGGACTGGTCTTGACCCTGGGCACCAGGCAAACAGGGCTTGCAGCTCATCTCCCTTGCCCCATACCTGCTGGTGGATCTCAGGCTGCCTGAAGGCAGTCACAAAATGTATTTATTAATGCAGTTAACCCTGGAAATAGTAAATAATGAGGATCACCATCACCAGTGTTGTCTGCAGGCTGGGAGATGGGATGCTGGGCTATAGCATGCTGGTCCTGCATGCAGAGGGGTGAGCAGGGGGATAAGTTGTTTGAGGTGGACTTTGTGATTCTTGGCTTTGAGTTTAGCCTCTGTTGTGGTCTCTGCCAGTTCCTTAGAGTTCGTACCAGTCCAAGGGTCCCCAGAACTGTTTTTCCAGTGGAAACTCCCTAAGCCTAAAATGATGCTTTTGTGCAGGGAAGCAGTGGCTGGAGATGACTTCAGTGTCCATCACAGCAGTTTGGACGAGTGAGCTTCTGGAAGGCTCAGGGGCCTGGTGCACACGCCTGGGAGTTGGGTTGGGAATTGTGTCATGCCTTAAGTGCACCAGAGACCCCGATGTTTGTGACAGCCAGACTGGTACCCGGGGGAAATCAGAGCAATCGAGTGGAATTTAATTGTCAAGGTTTTAGATTCTGAAAACTCGTTGTCTGCCCTGGAGGGTGAGTGAAGGCTGTTGCAGCCTGTGAGCGTGGGGTTGGCTCTTCTCCCTGGCCAGTGGCACGGCCGGGGTCAGGGCTCTGCCTCTGGGCTGGAGGGCATCGCCAGGGTCCCCGCGCTGGTGGCTCTGTGCAGCTCCTGCTGTGGGAGACCCCCCTGGGCAGAGGTGTGGGCTCGGATGTCCCTGACCCCCCTCCTCTGTTCCTCCCCCTTCCAGCACATGAAAGAACAAGCCAAGAGCTTTTCCTCAGAAATCAAGCAGATCGACCTGGACGTGAACCGCACCTTCCGCAACCACATCATGTTCCGGGACCGCTACGGCGTGAAGTGAGTGTGGGGCACTGGGGGGCTGGGGGCACCACCCCCCGGCTCGGGGCAGCTCCTGGGACCCCCCTCCTCTGTTCCTCCCCCTTCCAGCACATGAAAGAACAAGCCAAGAGCTTTTCCTCAGAAATCAAGCAGATCGACCTGGACGTGAACCGCACCTTCCGCAACCACATCATGTTCCGGGACCGCTACGGCGTGAAGTGAGTGTGGGGCACTGGGGGGCTGGGGGCACCACCCCCCGGCTCGGGGCAGCTCCTGGGGCAGCCAAGACGTCTCTGCCTTGAGCCACCAGCATGTGGTAGAGCCCGCGGGTGCTGGGCCACCCCTTCTCCCTTCGGGCAGGTCCACGCCGGAGCACGGCCAGCCCAGTCCTTCAGCTGTGTCTGCCCCTGCAGTGCCCTGTCCCCCAGAGCACTGGGCTGGGGGCACAGAGGGCTGGGTGGGGGGTGCCTGGGATGGTGGGGTGGGTCCGTCGGGAGCTGGGTGGCATAGGGTGGATGTGGCCTCCACAACAGCCAGGGTTGGAAAGGTTTAATGGAGTGGCTTTGTCACTGGGATGAGATGTAGGGGAGTTTCTGCCCTAGCCAGGCTGTGAGGAAGGCTCCACTGCCTTTCTCTGTGCTGAGGACTCCCTGAGCAAGGAGCCTGCTAATGGAATGGTGGCAGTGCTCTCCCCCAGCATGTGTAACACTTGATGCCTCTGTGGTTGCAAGTCTACTAAAAGCCCACCAGCACTCCACACCCGAAGAGCGGGGCCGTTGAGCCCAGCACGTGCAGGTGCCTGCTGCTGGGTCAGGCTGACTCCCTGTGGAGGAAGAGGCCCCATCCCACGTGCCCATCGAGGTGCTCGCTGGCTCTGTGAGCTCTGCTCCGTGCAGAGGGCAGAAGCACCAGCTGGCTGGGTGTTCCCCGAGCCTGTGCCCTCCGGGGTGCCCCGAAGCTGGGGAGCCCCCAGGTGGTGTCTCATGTCCCCCTCTCTCCCCAGGCAGCAGGCCCTGTTCCACGTCCTCGCCGCCTACTCCGTCTATAACACCGTAAGTAGTAAGTTGGTCCAGTTACAGTGAAGAGCATTGAGCTTTGTGTACATGTATAAAGATTGTTTTTACACTTTATATTTGTTTGTGTGTGTACACGTGTGTGTTTGTGTATAAACCCCACATTTCACCCCTGGTGATTGCAGTTTTCAGTCCCAGTCCTGGTTTGTGCAGAGCTGGAGGGCTGGCAGGCAGCACGAGGCTCGTTGCACGGTTACTCCATTCCCTTGTTTGTTTTGTCACCTGGTAAATGGCCTCTGACAGGTGGGATTTGGGCGAGTGTCAGCCAAGAACAAGGGATTGCCCTTCAGCTTTCCAGCCAGACCAGGCTCCTGGCTGAAGGTCTGTTACGTTTCTGACTTCTTGTCATATACTGAATGACATCCTCGTTGAAAACACGGATTTATTACAGCAAAACAGTTGTTTTTAGCTGAAGGGCATGGGCAGAATAAGCTGAAATTAGCAGCTGAACCTACTGCCTCCATCTCCAGGAGGGGACAGTTACCCCAGAAGGCACAGAAGATGCCCGGGGCGGTAGTCAAGGAACCATGACCCTGCCTTCCCTTGTACTAGATAAATGCTTACCAGATTTGTTTATTCTTTAATTACTTCGGTGCCCACATGACTGAAGGAATCCAGAACAGCATCTGAGCCACATGCAGTTTGTTGTCCCATCCCCTACTCCTTCAAGGAGCTGCAGGCACCTCTGATGTTGGGGTTTCTGTCCCTCCCCCTCCAGGCTGGTGAAGGGAGCAGCATGGTGGAGGGCACTGCCTGCAAACCCCTCACCTCCTGCTGGAGAACCTGCTCGAGCAGGTCCAGAGGAGGGCCATGGAAATGGTCTGAGGGACAGAACACCCCTCCCATGAAGAAAGACTGAAAGTTGGGGTTCAGCCTGGAGAAGAGAAGGCTCTGGAGCCACCTGACTGTGGCCTTTCAGTACTTAAAGGAAAGAAAGACAGAAAGACAGACTTTTTGCCAGGGTCTGTAGTGACAGGACAAGGGGCAGTAGTTTTAAGCTGGAGTTGGGTAGGTTTAGGATGGGTTTAGAGGGCAGGTTTAGGATGGGTTTAGACGATAGGATGGGATGTAAGGAAGACATTTTTACAGTGAGGGAGGTGATGCAGTGGAACAAGTTGCCCACAGAAGCTGTGAATGCCCCATCGTTGTAAGTGTTCCAAGTCAGGTTGGCCAGGGCTCTGAGCCACCTGGTTGCAGATGTCCCTGCCCATGGCAGGGGGGTTGGACGAGATGATCTTCAAAGGCCCCTTCCAACCCAAACCACTCTGTGGGTCAGTGGCACGGTGCATGCTGTAGACATACAGGAGCTGCGAATTTGGGTGTAAACCATAAAGACCTTGCAATGAGACAGAGCTTGAGGGGGAGAAGGAAGCCCAAGCAGCCTGACCTCCCTTTAGCACCGTGGTGGGGTCTGACAGCGGGGCAGCACGTGTGTTCCTCTTGGCTCTTGCAGGAGGTGAGCTACTGCCAGGGGATGAGCCAGATCGCAGCCGTCCTGCTGATGTACCTGAACGAGGAGGACGCGTTCTGGGCGCTGGCCCAGCTGCTGACCGACCAGCGGCACGCCATGCACGGTGAGCGGTTGGGGGCTCTGCAGGGGCTGCAGGGGCTCTGCAGGGGCAGGGGAGCCTCCTTTCTCCTCATGTGCCTGCTTAAGGCAGGTAAGGCCTCGTTATCTGCCAGTGCAGCGTGGCTGTGGAGCTGAACTTCACTCGTGGAGAAGTCCATCAGAGGAAACCGTTGAGCTTTAGCTTGCTGAGCCAAGCAATGAACATTTTCAGAGGTGCCATCTTCCCTCCAGAGTGCTCTTGGCAATCAATTGACTGAAGGTTCTGAGTTTTTAAGAAGTCTCACAGAAATACATCCGAGGGTGTCATGTCATGCTCTGGTTTTAGCACGCCGTGAGCTGTGTGCCCTTGTATTTTTATCAAGATGTAATTCCACCAAATATGCTGGAGGATTTTACTTCACGCACATTAAAGGTCCTTTCATCTTACTTGTGGTTAGCAGTAAGTGCACAGAGGGTTATTTTATGAGCAGAGGGACAAGCCTTGTGGCTTTCTAACTCTGGACAGTCTTAAACACGTCCTGCCAGATTACTGGGTGCTGCACAAGCCCCTCGGTGCTGAAACATCTCCAGCTTTCCTCTGAACCTTGGCAAGCACCAAGATGTGTTCAGTGAGGCCTTGGCCAAGCCAGGTCTCAGGCAGTGGGCAGGTGAGGTCTGCTCTGCAGGGCTGGGGTGAGAAGGACCAGCTGGGGTTGGTGTGGAGGGTGCTGCTGCCCATGTAGACATGGTGAAGGGTGGGCTTTGGGAGGGAGCCAGGGGAGGTAGCTGAGCATGCTGTGGTCCAGCCAACTTCAACGGGCAATGCAGGGGATGAGTTTCTGGAAGATGCTCCCATGACTGCTGCAGAGCTTTTCTGATCTCTTTTTTATTTGTCTCATCTTTCCTCATGAAGGTTTTTTCATTCCTGGGTTCCCGAAGCTGCAGAGGTTTCAAGCCCATCACGAGCAGATTTTAAGCAAACTGTTTCCCAAGCTGAAGAAGCACATGGTACGTCTGCTCTGGGCTCCCTGTGCCAGGGTCACCCCATGGCACTGCAGCAGTGGGTGCTGTGCTCTGCTGAGCAGACAGCTGAACACCCCCCTGGGCACACAGGGCTGCTGCAGCCAGAGGGGCACACGTTTGTGCAGTGGGGTGCCTGAGACGAGCAGATTTTAAGCAAACTGTTTCCCAAGCTGAAGAAGCACATGGTACGTCTGCTCTGGGCTCCCTGTGCCAGGGTCACCCCATGGCACTGCAGCAGTGGGTGCTGTGCTCTGCTGAGCAGACAGCTGAACACCCCCCTGGGCACACAGGGCTGCTGCAGCCAGAGGGGCACACGTTTGTGCAGTGGGGTGCCTGAGCCTTGCTGCAGCCAGTGGTGGCTGCCTGCCTGCTGGGCGTCGTTCGTGCTGGGACCCCCAAGACCTGGAGGCTCCCCCAGAGGCAGCAGGCAGGATCCTGGCCTGCAGCAGGGCTTGGCTGTGCTCCCACCCCCCCTGCAAAGCCCGGGGGGTGATGCTGACTGGCTGGAGTCTCAATTCAGTAATTATTAGCCCCCAGTGCTTGCATTTAACCACTTAGTTTGAAGACAGGAGGCACGTAAGACTTGCTGTGGGCGTTGTGTTGCTTGGGCATGTCCAGTTGCTCTTCTCTCTAGCAGATGGGAGAAGCCCATTGGTGGCTGGAGGAGCATCTGCAGGACACATCAACTGCTCTCTAACATCTAGGCGACTGTTTTGCAACACCTGCTGCCTTTTTTTCCCCCTTGTTCCCCCTCACACTTGCTGTAGACAGTTGGTGGTCAGTGGTCAGGCTCCTGAAGGTTCCTTAGGCTCCTGAGGGGCTTGGTCCAGGCTCCAGGAACAGCTGCTTATATTGCCATCAACTGCAAATGGGCCAGCCCTGACCAGAGCAGTGAAACAGCCAGGACAGTGAAACAGCCACGGGGTTTGGGAACCTGTGCCGGGAGGTGGCTCCCGCTGCAGCCAGGAGGTGGTGCTAGCAGAGCTGGCTTCACCAAAGCCTGCGTTTAACCCGTGGGATACTTGGGGTTTGTCATTTTTGTGGTGCTCCAAGGGGCTCGTATGGGAACTGCTATGGAAACAAAAAGAGCAGCCTGCAAGGAGTGTGTGGGTTGGGTTCCTGGAAGGTTTTTTGTAAAGACGTGGAGTAGGTCTTAGGCCAGAAAAACTTCTCCTAGAATCCCTCTCCAGAGCTGTGGCTGAAGTCTGGCCGTGTTGAGGGGTCAGGCTCAGTGACTACCTTGGGCCACAGCAGGGCTTCAACACTGGCATTTAAAGCAGGGGCTTTGCTGGGAGACAGACCACAGCCAGCACCCAGATCCCACCATTAACCAACCAGCCTCCCCAAAAGCCCTGTGAGCTGCCTGACCCTGCAGCTGCCAGCCTGGTGAGTCTCATCTCTCTCTGCTGTCTCCTCCCAGGACAAGGAGCAGATGACCACAGGGATCTACACGACCAAGTGGTTCCTGCAGTGTTTCATTGACCGGGTGAGGATGCTCTGCGGGTTCCTTGCTGCTCTGCCACTTGCACCCACAGTTAATCTGCATTATTCTTTTAATAAGTGTCATTATTTGAAGAAGACATTAATATTTTAGAAGGTGGGACATTATGCACGCTCTCATAAGGCAAAAAGATTAATAAGGGAGCAGCTAAAAATAACTGTGTCACTGGTGATGAGACAGTTGCTGCTGCCTCGTCACAAGCAGGTGCTGGGAGGTGGCTCAGCAGCAGCTCTGTAAGCTTCAGAGCTGGGAGAGATCTTTCTCCTGCCCACTGGCACTGCTGCAGGAGCAATTAACCTCACTTTGGCTCTGGAAACAGTGGAAGGAGAAGAGCTGGAGGAACAAACCTCAACAAGTAGCACTGCAGGAGCTGCAGGCAAAGGAGCAGGCTGGGCACTGGAGACACGTGAAAGTGTGAGAAAATTGCCCTGATTTGTCCCGAGCTTGTTGGGCAGTCCTGCTGAGGGACACGGCCTGGCAGTGCACTTGGCAGAGTTAGGTTACTGGCTGGGCTTGATGATCTTAAGGGTCTTTCCCAGCCTCAGCAATTCCATGATTCTCATGTGCAGGGCATCTGTGTGGACTGAGTCTCAACGTTCTGCTGCCCCATGTCCTGTGAAGCAGCAGGTGACCTCTTCCCCTTGAGGGGCCCCTGATATGAGACCAGTCCCTACAAACTGTCTGAAGTGCACGTGCCCCTAGAGACCCCTCAGCTTCAGCAGGGTGGTGAAGGAGCTGCCCTGGCAGTCCTGCTGCCCTGGTGTGTGGTGTGGAGCACGGGGAGGTGGCGATGCCTGTGGGCCAGCCCATCAGGGTGTGTTCTGCTAACCAGCTGCTCTTGCCTGTGTCTGGACAGACGCCCTTCACCCTCACCCTGCGGCTGTGGGACATCTACATCCTGGAGGGAGAGCGG